TGCCACCCGAAGGTTGCAGGAACAGCAACTCATATTCCGCTTGGGAATCCTGCAGCCCAATGGTATCAATGTGGATTTCACAAGCTTCAAAATCTCCGTTCCCCCTACCGCATCCCAAAACCAGTCCAGCTCGTCCCCGCCTCCCTAACCTGTTCTTCCTCCCACCTATTCCCTCCTCCCACCTACTAACCTCATCCCGCCCCCTTGACCTGTCCGTCCTCCCTGGACTGACCTATCCCCTCCCTAACTCCCCACCTACACTCACCTTTACTGGTTCCATCCCCGCCTCTTTGACCTGTCTGTTTCCTCTCCACCTATCCTCTCCTCTATCCATCTTCTATCCGCCTCCCCCCTCTCCCTATTTATTTCAGAACCCCCTTCCCCTCCCCGATTTCTGATGAAGGGTCTAGGCCCGAAACGTCAGCCTTTCTGCTCCTATGATGCTGCTTGGCCTGCTGTGTTCATCCAGCTCTGCACCTTGTTGTTTCAGATATCAAAGTTTATTTTACTCCAAGAACCAGCAAGAGTCAAGTCAATCTGGAAACCAATGGAACAAAGGGGACAACAAGCAGAATGGAACAAACCCAGAGAATGTCAGAGAAACTCAACTGATCTGGCAGCATCTGTAGAGAAAAACAGAATTAATGTTTTGAGTCCAGCATGACTCATTTTCAGAACTTCTTCAGAAGACTGGAACCTTCCTTGAACAACCAGTCAAGCCAAGCAGTAAGAGAGAGAGAATAACTTGTATAGTTTGTCTTTTCTGTTAATGACCTAAATTAATGCTTTGTATCTGGAATCTATATTTCCATGTGTGTGTGTGCATGAAGGAGTGACTGTGCTCTTTGTGTTTAAATTCTGGAGGCTTGTGTGTACTAAAATCATCCATTCTTCTGATTTAAATTTCCCTGAAATTTGGCTTTGTGTCCATTACTGAAAATCATTACACTCAACTGGGTTTAAAACATTCCTTCTAAAACACTTCATTTGGTGGACAACCAAGAAATGTGGAGAAACGGGAAAATGTTGCTCTGTTGCACCTGTCCATAATACTAGACACAGATGTGTGAAAACATGTGTGTTTGTGTTTTCATGTGTGTGTGTATGTGTGTTTTATACAGAAACTAAACAGGCAAAAGGAATAGGTTCTGAGCAGACAATTTTGAAAAGTGAAAATACTATATGGTTTTTCTGAAGTTACGTATGTACCTGTAATTGAATAGCTCCTATACAGTTCCTGTGTAGCTCTTAAAAATCTGGGAAGCAGGGAAAAACCAGAGTAGGAATTTATTTAAAGTGGACGGCATTTGATTTCAGATTTTCATTCATGGTGTGGCATTTTACTTCAAAGGAGCAATTTGTTATTAGCAGGTGCATGTATTCTGTAAATGTGAGGATTTCTATCATCAAGGAACACTCAATATCAGAAGCTTGAATGGCCATGTGCTACTCTGAAGTTGAAATATATTGTCGTGTGGAGTAAAAGGTACTTATTATATTGTTTGTACTAAAACATTTTCACAGTAGGGCCTATATATAGCAAAACTCTTAAATTCTTGCACACACCTCCACTCCAAGCTCCTCTGAACTGTTACCCAAAGATTGTAGATACTTTGCTTGGAGTGAAAATGGTGGGTAACAGAGCAGGTGCCATGTTTTTCTCCTGTGTGTGTCTGGTGGGAAGGCACAAATAATGCTATTGAAACCAGACAGTAGAAAGCAATAGGCAAGTGGGAGCACAGTCCTCAAATTGCTTTCTGTCTCTGCCTACCACTGATCTGATGAAAAACTGTCTATGCAGTGGGTGTAGGTTAGAGGCAGTGAAAACGGAAACCAAGAGGCTAGCCTAATGCTCCTGTGCTAGGAAATTTTTTTAAAAATTAAGAAGGATACTTATTGCTAAATGCTGTCCTATGAGTTAATCTAGAAAATGTGTATGTTAGCAAAGGTCAGGTTCAAATTAGGCTGACAATCTTTCAGACACTTGAGTAGCTGTCTGGAAGGGCACAGAGAAAGGTGGGACAAGAGAGCGAACTAAAACAAAAAACAGAAGAACTGCAGATGCTGTAAATCAGAAACGAAAACAGAAGTTGGTGAAAAAGCTCAACAGGTCTGGCAGCATGTGCAAAGAGAAACCAGAGTTAATGTTTCGGGTCCGGTGAACCTTCCTCACCGGCCCCAAAACATTAACTCTGATTCCTCTTCACAGATGCTGCCAGACCTGTTGAGCTTTTTCATCAACTTCTGTTTTTGTTAGAAAACTGAAAAAAATGTTTTCAACGTGCAATAAGTACAGCCATACACAAACAACACAAGCAACTCAATTTTCACAAGGATTGACATTATTTAAAATAAAGGTATTGTGTCAGTTTCCTGTAGGTAGAACACATAGATATTTGAAGCGTTCCTAGTCCTACTCAATGACAGAATTTTGCTGAAGCAAACATCAATTCTTTAATACAGCTGTCACCTCACAACAACAGAACAGAGGTCTTAGCATTTCCAATGGGATAAGTTCACAGAAATAATGGTGCGACTTGCATGCATTAACATGGTTAGGAGCTTCGGTACACACAGAAGTCCTTGCTTCATTAAACATTGGAATCAGAGTTCCTCCCATGTCGAATACCTGTTCCTTGTTTCCTTTTGCACTGTTGTGAATGTTCTGGCTTTTGAAACTGCTGGAGGTAGAAGCGCGTAGCAAAGTGGTTCGTCATTTGTCTTAGGGCCTGGAATCCCACAACCAATTCAAAAATCAGGAAAGTGAAGTAGAGGATATGAACAGTCTGCTCCAGGGGTAAAATGATGACAGACTGATCAGTGAGGAGGAAGAGAATAATAGGTAGCTGTATTGTAAAGGATAGCAACCAAAATCCAGCCAACTCTGGCAGCTGCAAGTAAAAATCCAAAAGGCAGATCAGGAGCTGATGCACAATAATAACCAGTAACTTTAAACAATACTTAAGTCTTTAGGAACATGCAAAACAAATTTGGCCCCACAAGCCTTTTCAATCATTCATTGAAATCACAACTGATCAGTATCTTACATCATCAACCCATTTGGCACCATAATCCTTAACGCCATTGCTTAGCAAAAATGTTTTGCTAGATGCGATTTAAATTTGTGCTAACCTCTACTGATTTGTTTTATAGGAAATAGGTCCATGTATCTAACAAGTTTGCATCAAATATGTTTCCTAACTTCTCTCATGATTTTCTTGCCTTTTAATTTACAGTTACTTTCAGTTCTGCACTCCAGCAATTGAAACATTTTCTTTCTGTCTACCCAATGACTCCCTTTCATAATCCTAAAAGCCCTACTCCAAATCGTCCCCATGTTAAATAGTCCAAGGAATTCAAGCTTATGCAAACATTTAACATTCTGGTGAATCTGCATTCCAATTTGCCCAAGGCTAGTACTGAATTGTAATATAGTTACAGCAAAAAGGAGGCCTGTCATGTTCAGCACTGGCTCCCCAAAGGAACAATTCACCTATAGTGCTACAGTATAACCTGTTCCCTGTAGTCCTGCATATTCTTCCTCCTCACATAAAAGATCATTTCTACTTTGTGGTTGCCATCCAGTTTAATCCATCAATCAGGATTGGGATGAATCTCAGTTGGGTTGAACTGCAAAACTGGGATGTACGTACACAAATAATCATTTGGTAGTACTTGATAATTGCTGAAAAAGTACACATTTTCTTGAATCTCTTCATCTTGAACACATTAAGACATTCGCAAGAATGCCAACATATAGGGAAAACATTGTATTCTGGATAAGGATAGAGTGCTGATTCACGCAAGTGAACTCCGACCGGTCGGAGCATTGCCGTTGACAATGTACTAGTTAGTTGATGATTGGCAGTATAAATTAAACCAGACTGATTAACTCAGATTGGTCAAGGCATTGCCCTGAAGAATGAACCAGAGAATGGCTGTAACCTATTTTGTTAAATTGAAGCAGGTACAATGTGTGCACATGTTCTTTCCGTCAACAAAGAATAGCACCCAGTGTGTTAATATGTGCACTTTCTAGGACATGCAAGTGTACTTTGCTGTTGCTCATATTTTTGAGAGTTTCAAGACTTTTGAGATCTCTTTTGTGAAATCTACTACAGGGCTCTCTATTACTGTCTACTGTAAACCCATTCTCACGTCAATGTAGACTTTGGTATTCCTACAGTTTCACACTCATATTATAGGTTTGGCTGAATCAGCAACCTTGTAAATACATCCCAAGCCATTTGCTCACTGTACTGAAATAGGACACACAAAAATGATCTTGTGAAATAATGGCTACCCCGATTACATCATTTCTTGCTGCATGTCATGCAAACTCATGAATGGACCTAAGGATGCCATATTCAATTCTGATAAGTGCACAATGTACCTCTGATTACCATGAAAGGGATCTCAAAAAGCATTTGAGAAACAGGCTATTCCATATTGCTGCTACACAGTAACAATGTGAGTTGTTACAGGATGCTGCTTTCAAACCAGAAAGGTGTTCTGGCTACACACACAAGAGTAACTTACATAAATTTTAGTGACTCTAGTTTTGTAGACAATATGTCCCAAAGACTGGTGGACTGTATTAAATGTTCAATTGTATCTCTTTGGCTGCTTGCAAAAGTAAATATACCAAGGATATCCAGTCAACCAATGCTTGAAAAACTCAGTGCATCTTGCCCAACATTACATATGATTTTGCAATTGGACAACATTTGCTAAATAATCTTGAGTGCTCGAAGAATTACATTGGCAACCAATTTCAGATTGTCAGTCAGGCTTGCAAGTACTGGAAGCTCCATGTATATACTTACACATAGGCGTCCTTATCTTTGCAGACAGAAAGAACATGTACACACTCTGCATGTCTTTCACCTTGATAAAATTGGTGACAGCCTCCTTTGGTTCATTCCTCAGGGAAATGCTTTGACCAGTGAGAGTCAACCAGCCTGGTTTGTGATTAAGCGAAGCTTAGCAATTAACTGTCAGTTATCATTCAACTGGTACATTCTCCATGGCAATTCCCCTACAATGTAAGTTCACTTGCCATCAAATCAATACTCTCTTCTTTATAAAGCGTTGTTCCTCTTGACCGTGGTATTCCTAGGAACATTCTGTTGAGTTCAAGACAAAAAGCTTTGACAAAATATGTCTTCTTTCACCACTACTCAAGTACTATATAATATATTTCCTTTTACAACAAACAAATGGAATCAATTATAAATTCACATAATACAAACTGATTGCTTTAAATAGACAGACATCCAGAAGGCCAGATTTTTGAATTAAAGAAAAGGCTGTTAACAAAGCTAAATGGCCAAAACAACCCAATTTTATCTTTCAGTTAGAGATAGTAGGAACTGCAGATGCTGGAGAATCCGAGACAACAAGGTGCAGAGCTGGATAAACACAGCAGGCCAAGCAGCATCACAGGAGCAGAAAGGCTGACGTTTTGGGCGTAGACCCTTCATCAGAAAAACTGTCAGTTATCTTTCAGTTGCTGATTTCAGATATTTCAAGCATTTTCTGTTTCATCAAAATTACCCTGTTTCTATTGAAACACTGTAAACTGAATTTGTCTTAAATTAAATATTTTATGAGAGAGTGCTAAACTTCATGAGAAACCTATTTTAAATTTAGAAAGTACATTAATATTAAGAGGTGAGCATGTTTTGTCGGTTGACAGTTGGTGCAAGTGGAATTAGCTTGTACGTTCTGAATTTTTATACAAGGGGATTTCATTTTATTGTCATATTCTGCACTTATATGGATATTTTCTTAATGCCTAAAATTTACAGAGGTAATAAAATACTCCATGCATCCTGATTTGTTTGCCTCCACTGATGATAAGCTTACATTTCCTAACATAAGAATAGATGACCTTGGTTTCTGAATAATTTTGAATCAGACTAGATTAGGTGGGTTATAGGGAAATGGGTCTGGGTGGGATGCTTTGAGGGTTGGTGTGGACTTGTTGGGCCGAAGGGCCTGTTTCCATACTGTAGGGATTCTATGATAAAAATGCAGTAAGACCTGGCTGGTATCAAGGTTGGCGGACAAGTAGTAAGTGACATTCACAACATACAAGTGCCAGACAATGATCATTTCCAATTTAGAGAGTTACATTGCCTATTGGCACTTAGCTTCATTACCATTGCAGATACCTCCACTATCAACATCCTGAAGGTTACCATTGACCAGAAAGTAAACTCGACTTAGCCACATAAATACTGTGTCTAAACGACCAGGTTTGTGACTCAGAATCCTGCAGTAAGTAATTCACCTCCTGACTCTCCAAAGCCTGTCCACAGTCTACAAGTCATATGTGTGATGGAATACACACACTTGCCTGGATGAGTACAGTTCTAACAATACTCAAGTGGCTTGACTCCACCCAAGGCAAAGTAACACACTTGATTGACAATAAATCCTTCCATTGTCAACTCTCAGAAGCGGCAGCATGCACCACCTACAAGGTGCACTGAAAAACTCACCAAGAATCCTTAGACAGCACCTTCCAAACCTATGATCACTATTTTCCAAGGACAAAGGCAGCAGTTAGATAGGAACATCACCTGCAAGTTCCCCTCCAAGTCACTCACCATGCTAATTTGGAAACTTATCATCATTCCTTCAATGTCACTGTCGCTGTTTTAAAATCCTGAACACCTTCCTAATAGCAATGTGGGTCTACACAATATTTCCTCTGCTTATTTTTTGGTGTGCAGATCTTTGAGCTCTGTGCTCAGAAACTATGTCCGAAACTGGAAGGCAAATCATTGGTATGCCGATCGACCTGTGTGGCACTTCAGGGGAACCTAACGCAGCTTTAAGGAAATGTTAGGTATACTTACAGCAAATGGATTGCAGCGGTTCAAGAAGACAGCTCAATACCACTTTTCCAAGGACAACTAGGGATGGACATTAAATGCTGACACATCGAGTGACATCCATATTCAATGGTGAATTTAAAAAATTCTGGTCCATTGCTCTTACTGTTTTACATATTCAGCGGAGATCTGAAAGGATGTTGTTTTATAGTCCTCCAGTTTGGAATCTATGCCTTGGTGCATTGAGCAAAAATACATTACTAAATTAAGTTAAAAGAATACCCATTTCTCCCTGCATCATGATAAGGTTATATTCTACAGGTCTAGCTGGTTTCCTCCAAGTACCAACGATGATTATCAGAAATCTATTGATTTAAGGGAATATCATAGTTGAGTCTGTATATGCCATCTTATTAAGGCATACATTCCTTCAATGGGGAAGGTTTAGTAAATCTACTGGCACACTTACCCAATGAGTCGTTGGTGGAGTAAGCAGGGAGAAACACTTACAACTATTGTAGATTGTGGTGTATACGTCAACCTGGCGTGAAACAACCCAATTTTTTCCAGCTCCAAAAATCATATTTTTGCATGTACTCCAAGTATAAGTTGATCCTACTTTGTAGTTACAATATGCCATATTTGCATTAATATTGGGTCCTTTTTTTTACCCTGTAAGTGCATATTTTACCTCATGAAGCAGTGAGCAGGTGATACGAGCTGTTTTCTGAAGAAGATGCACAGCCATTTAAGGCTCACCCACATGGTTTGGTTCAGAGTGGAATCCTTCAAAGGTATCTGGAGCCAAAGTGACTCAAAATGAATAAAGTGAACTCTGCATCTCTGCACAGAAAGTGGTTGAGGCCAAAATATTGAATGTTTTCAAGAAGGAGCTAGATATAGTCCTTAGAGCTAAAGGGAACAAAGGTTATAGGGAGAAAGCAAGAATAGAGAACTGAGCTAGATGATTAGCTGTGATTATATTGAGTGCAGAGCAGACACAAAAGGAAGAACAGCCTATTCCTTCTCCTATTTTCTGTTTTTCTATGTATCAGATGCCAAAGACAATAAATTTGACTGGTTTTAAAATGGTTTCATTGTAGTTTATTCAATAAAGCATGCTGCATTAATTTAACATGAATTACTAGTGTTATGAATTTCTTTCATAATTCAAAATGGCAGCTAGGTACATCCACACTGCTGGTTCACATTTCATACTCCGTGTTTAAATCAATCCCAGCTTTTGGAGCAATTTGTAAAGTTTACACAGGTTGACTTATACACCAATGTCTATAGTAATATTCATTTCTAAGATACTTACCTTTTCCTGCAAGTTTCCCACGTAGCCCAGAACAAGTCGGACACATTCAATTAATGCGAGAATTATCACAGCCATCAAAAGCAGCCACTGGTAGTATTCTGGTAATAGGCTATACTGTACCAGGGAGGAGAAGAAGAGAGCCGGAGCTCAAGTCAGTACACGACTATTCAACATAATTCAATGTCATCTATTAATTAGAGCTGAAGAAAAAGTCTTAATTAATTTTAACTGCAAAAATGAGAAATATAGACAGTTCTATATTAATTAATAGATTATACTACTAATTAATTATCATCTACTTAATATTATATATCTGCAGTAGGACAAATTAAGGCACTCCATTGCTGGCTTCACAAATTTCAGTGTTTAAGGATTTTACCAACCCAAGCTTGGCACTCTCCAACTTGATCACATGAGAATAAATGTGGAACTGGACAAACACAGCAGACTAGACAGCATCAGAGGAGCAGGGAAGTCAATGGTCGGGCCAGAACGCTTCATCCCAGTCCTGATGAAGGGTTTTGGCCTGAAATGTTGACTATCCTGCTCCTCTGATGCTGTCTGACCTGCTCTGTTTGTCCAGCTCTATGTTTATTGACACTGGCTCCTAGCATCTGTAGTCCTTACTGTCTCCTTGATCACATGTCACTCTATTTCCCAATTTCCAACTTAATTCCTCCCACCATTCCAATTTGTTTCCTCCAAATCTTTCTGTCAGCTGGAACTAATTGCTTCACTAATGTTTTACTAATCTTAACTTTCTCTTACTGCGTTATATCTAAGCTGTCCTTGTAGGCTGTATGAGTAATCCATGCGAATTCAGAGTGGAAGTTTGACCTGTCTCTCAATACTCAATGCTTCAATTTACTTTGTTGCCACCTTGATGATCTTAAGTAAATCTGAATATTAGCTATAAAATGCACACCCCAACTCACTAATCTTTTATAGGCCAATCACCCTGTTTTTATCAAGAGATATTGCTGTAGATGAGTTCATGGACTTTGTTCACTGTTAACTAGATTCTTTTCTTTGAGTCCTGCCAGAAATCCCACTTGTGTCTTTCTCGATGGTTGACAAAGGAGTGTCAACAGAGCCTCACAACAAATGCTTACCTTAAGTTGAAGCATGGTCACTTCTGATGTCCACCAGAATGGAAAGAAGAAGACATTGAAATACAGTGTCATCTGGAAAGGTAAGCTGGACACCATCTCATTAGCTATTAACACAAAAACTCAACCGAGTAAATTATTAAACATTTTTATTGTGATAATTAGTAGTTACAGAACCAAGATCATTTTAGCTGTAAATGTGAACACATTATTCCACGTAATTATACTCAATGAGGTGTTACCAAGGAAGAAAGTGGTGAAAATGTCTAGCAGCCATTAACGTAAATAAAAGTTTTTTATACTGTTCCTGGGGTCTGAAACCATTCAACAGTTTTCACAACCAATCCTATTCTATTAAGGCATATGGAAGATAAACAAAAAAATCAAGTGTGCCGGTTAAAATCCATAGTCTGAAGAAAAAGGCCCCTATAGTACTTTCTGCCAAATGTCATGGCATTAGTTACTGTTAACACATTTTGAAAACTTTCTAAATTAACCGACACACTATACATCTATTTTTGTTAGATGGTGTGGACCTTTCATTCCTTAACCAGAAGCATGTGAATGAGACAAATATCATTTGCCATTTGTGCAAAACAAAATATCATCTACACTTCAAAACTAGTTAATTGGCAGTTAAAGATTTTGAGACAGAGTCATACAGCACAGAAACAGACCCTTCAGTCCAACCAGTCCACGCCGACCATAATCCCAAACTGCCTGCTCCTGACCCATATGAAAGGCTTTTAAGAAATGCAAGGAGTTCCTTTCGTTTTAGTTATAAGTTTATGTTTAATCTAAGCTTCCATTTTAAAATATCTTTGTAAAGTTTCACAAAATTTGTATTTAATAGTTTAAAAAAAACTGCTAGAATTATCTGTACTATCCTAATGCTATAATGCTAAATGTTAGCATAAAATTTATAGGACCTTGGGTCGTTTGTACCTCTGGGGTTGTTATATTAAGTTATTCAAATTTTGATGATCTAAGTAATTTAATTTGCCATATCCTCCTTTTAACTCTTTGGGTTCATATTTCTATCACTTGCATTGGAATTTCTGATAGTAGATGCAATCTGCGTTACAGCTGGTGTTGTATTTTCCTGCACAAACATATGCTGTCATAGACCTTTGGATTATTGCCAAGATTTTGTGGGAGTTCCCTGTTAAATTGCCATGTTTGTCAGTCTGGGTTATTGCTAGGACTGTGCGTGGAAACTCCTTCAGCAAACCTATCCTATTTTGTGTTATTACCAGTTACTACAGGTGTAAATTTGCATTTTCTGCTAATGTGACTTACCTGAAATATTGTTACGTCCATTGCCACGGTCTCGAGTTTTATTGCTGATGAAAAGAGGTCCAGTGAAATTAGTCAGATTCTGACTGATATTATGAGGCAGAGAAGAATACAGAGACATGGCTAGTAGAGAAATCTGTTCCACTTGAGTTAAATCCTTCGTAATCCCAACACCATCTGATCAGCAGTAATACAGCAATCTCCTGCAACAGCAGCCAAAAGACCAGATACGTACAACACTGATACCCTGAAATATTTGTCTGTGCCAATATGAAGTATTAATTATTCTGTTCTCCTTTGTATTATTTGTTAAAATCAGTCTTTTTTTATATTAAACAAAAACTTTGCACTTCATATGGCTTTTATAAATAAAGATATTGTAGAAATAACTACTAGAGTTATCTTTGAAATGTACTTGTAGTAACAGTAAACTAAAATTTGAAATTCATCAAATCATGGAATAAGAAGCAGCCATTCAGCCCCGCACTGGCCCTTACCAAGGACAATCCTGTTTGTCCTATGGCTGTTGTTTCTCCATCTTCCTGCAATTTCCTTTCTTCTTTAAGTGCTTATCCAACTGCTGTTTGAAGGCTCCTATTTGAACTATATCTGCCACCTTACCATGCATTGTATTTGAAAGTGCTATTTATTGCATAAAAATGATTTTCAATATGGCACCTCTGGTACGAAATTACCTCTTAGCTTTATCTGCATTTAGAATCATAGAGTCATACAGCATGGAAACAGACCCTTCAGTCCAACTCGTCCGTGGCGACCAGACACCCCAACCTGAGCTAGTCCCATTTGCCAGTATTTGGCCCATATGCCTCTAAAGTCTTCCTATTCATATTCCCATCCAGATGCCTTTTAAAGGTTGTAATTGAACCCACCTCAACCATTTCCTTTGGCAGCTCATTCCATACAGCCTCTGACACTCCAGGGAAGAAAACCCCAGCCTATTCAGCCTCTCCCTATACATCAAACCCTCCAGTCCCAGCAATATCCTTGCAAATCTTTTCCACATCCTACCAAGTTTAACATCTTTCCTATAGGAGGGCAAGCAGAATTGTATGCAATATTCTAAAAGTGACCTCAACATATGTCCCGACTCCTATACTCAATGTTCTGACCAATAAAGGCAAGCATGCCAAACTCCTTCTTCACCACCCTAACTGCAGCTCCATTTTCAAAGAACTATGCACCAACACCTCTTGGTTTCTTTGTTCAGCAACACTCTCCAGGACTCTACCATTAACTGCCCGCTTGATCAATGTCCCGTTGTACTCTGAGGTAAACTTCTTCACTGTCCACTCCATCACCACCGTTGTACTCGGAGGTAAACTTTTTCACTGTCCACTACATCACCAATTTTAGTGTCATCTGCAAACTTACTAACCATACCTGCTATATTCACATCCAAATCATTTATATAAATGACATAAAGCAGTGGACCCAGCACCGATCCTTGCTGCACACCACTGGTCACAGACCAGTCTGAAAACCAACTCTCCACTGTCCTGTCCCCTACCTTCGAGCCAATTTTGTATCCAAATGAGATAACAAGGTGTAGAGCTGGATGAACACAGCAGGCCAAGCAGCAGCAGAGGAGAAGGAAAGCTGACGTTTCGGGCCTAGACCCTTCTTCAGAAATGATCTTCTTCAGCATCTGCAGGTCCTGCTATCTTTGTATCCAAATGGCTGGTTCTCCCTGATGTAACTTTGCTAACAAGTCTACCATGCGTCTACTTGTCAAATCCTTACTGAAGTCCATGTAGACTACATCCACCAATCTGCCTTCATCAATCTTCTTCGTGAGACATGATTTCCCATGCACAAAGCCATTTTGACTATCCCTAATCAGTTTTCGCTTTTCCAAATACATATGCATTCTTTCCTTCAAAATCCCTTCAGACAACTTACCCCACTGACATCAGGCTCACCAATTTATTGTTCCCTGGTTTTCCTTTCCACTTACTCCAATGTCCTTGTCCTTTAATAGTTAATTCCAGACAGAGCTATTACTGATTCTTTCCGTGTTTAACAGTTTATCTTTGTTGAGTCACTCAAACTATGGACAGTTATTAAATAAAAGTTCTGAAGTCTATAATGTCAAAATGGTGTAGCAACTCAGCCTAGATATGGACCGATTATGGTGGAAAATAGCCAATTACTAGTGTTTGTTCATCATATTAAAATTATGAACAAAGAGGTGGGGCTGTGATATTATAAACTTCAGAACTTTAATAACTGTTCATGGATTGAATGAATCAACAGAAAATAAACTGTTACACATAGAAAGCAGCAGCAATACCTCTCTCTGGAATAAATTATTAGCGACAAGAACAATCTTATACAGGAGTTGAATGCAATTAACCATGTGTAGGAGTTGAAACTACATGAAGAAAACTGTCTTGACCGCTTGATGCTGTAAGGACAACTGATTGCCCTGCAGAAGAATTTAAGCAGTTAATCAAAAGAAAGCTGTGCCTTCAAACAGTCAATGCCAAATGTAAGAAGGAACAGGGAAGCTATTTCTGATAAGGCAAGCTGCAGACTTGCAGTAATTTGGATGAAAGGCCTTTAAAAAAAAAATCAATAATATCACACAGACCTGAAGGACAAGAATCTGTATTAGAATCCAACACCAGAACTCCCTCTTTAATATAACTCCGGAGAACAGCTTTAGATAAGGATCGAACCCTGGACACTTCCAGAGACAAATACTGTGTTGAAATTGTAGCTAAATTCCACCATTAATCGGGTAATAGCAAGGTTGCATTGTAAGGCTTAACTTGCTCACTTGAGGGTCTTATTTTAGTTGCTACATGCGATAAAGTTTAAATCATTGTTTCAGTATTTGACTACCTGTGAAATTTCTTAATAAGTAGCCGAATTGGAGGTAACTTGTGGCGATTTACCCAAAACAGGTCCAAAACTGTTCACAGTTTTCCAGCTGTGGTCTGACTAGTACCTTGTATGGTTTTATTAAGTCTTCCTTATTTTGTACACCATTCCCTTTAAAGACCAACATTCCATTTGCCTTCCCTATTACCTGATCTTGGATGCTAGCTTCTTGAGATTTATGCACAAGGACTCCTAAATCCCTTTGTGCTGAAGCCTACTGCAATATTTCTCCATTTAAATAATATTCAGCTCTTTTATTCTTCCTGCAAGTGCATAACCTCATATTTTCCCATATTCTATTCCATCTGCTAAGGCTTTGCCCATTCACTTAACTAGTCCATATCCCAGTGCATTGCGTCACCCTTAACATTTGCCTTTCCATCTATTTTTTCCCCTTCTGAAAAGCTGCCTACATTCATTTTCCTCATCCAAGTCATTAATGCATATTGTAAATAATTATGGCCTCATCACTGATCCTGTTGCACTCTATGGGATACAAATTATCACCCCTTAAAATGTCTCCGCATCCCAACTCTATGTTGTATTAGTTAGCCAATTCTGAACCCAAACTAACATCCTACATCCAATAACATAGGCTCTTATCTTGTAAGGTAGCCTAACACGATGGTAACTTATCAAGCTCCTTCTGGAAAACCCTATATTACATCTGCTTATTTCACTTTATCTATCCTGCATGTTATCTCCTCACAGAATTCTAATAAATTTGTTAGGCATGATTTTTCCATTATGCTATCTCTACTTGATTATATAAATGTATTTCTAAAAGCTCTCCTTTATAACAGGCTCCACAGAACTATTCTCAGAATTCAAAGCAAGCAGCTAGAGCTGTAACTCCCATCTTCAACTAGTAATTGCAACTGTGCCAGATGACTGTGAAATTATTGACTTTTTTTTCCCTGAGAATTAGGCTCTCATCTAAGAGCTTTCAGACAGTGATGATGATTTATTTTCCTTGGAAATCCCACTTACTGCAGACACAAATGAATTGAGCCTGAAATATTATGATTCAGAATGTGTAATGCAGAATAATTTTATTTCAGAATGTTGTGAAATCAGTTTTCTTACAGTGTTCAACTTTACATAAAACTTTGCAAAACAGTGGCACATCCAACTATTTGATCTAGAGCATCATATTAAGCGTCTTAAAGGAAAACCACTTCACATGCAATAGATTATTTTGCACTGGTTGTGGCTAAGTATGTCAACAATTTTGTGCAAGGCAACTTGTCAGTAACAGAAGTTGGGAAAATGATCACGGAAGTTGAATGTTAGATCTGACGCCAGAATCCCTTGGTGGTCTTCACTGAATTATTACCAATGGGTTGTTCCTGAAGTGCAGGAACAGTGGAATAGAACGTTTGTTTAATATCTCACTACGGGGGCCGCACCTCCTTTAAATCTGAATGTTACATTATTGTATTAACCCTCACATTAACGGCACAAAGTACGCAGTGGTGCCAAGTACCGGTCTAGCAACACACTTAGGAGGCTCTCTAACCATGGCCACTTTTACGTAAATGCCATTTTGCTTTAAGTTTAGACTCGAATTGAATCCTTTCACGTGAAAATAATGAAAACGCAGAAGCGTGCTTTTCAGTTGACTTAAAAAAATCTCACGCCTATGCACCTTATTTACCGTAGTACTCTTTCAGTTTGACAATTCAGCCAAACAAATCTTACAACAGATGGGAAAACGTGAGCCTTCAAAAACATCTCAGGTCGGTTCGGAAGGAGCCGGAGGTCGTTCTGGTTTGTTGATAGGAATCTTCCTACGGATCTGACCACGGTGGCAAGAACCGGACGTCAACCCCACTCACCATCATCCAACCTCCATGAAAAAGAACATAAGAACAGGGAGAAAACATCGAAGTTAAATGTGGACCTACTTGAAATATTGTCCGGAAACACTGAACATAAACAACAAGAAATCACAAAGACCCTCAACATCCGGACTAAAGGTTATCGGCGAACTTTAGGAAGAGGTTCATTCCCAGCGAGACTGGTTCGAGGTTGGCGGTGGCTGATTCCGTTTCTAACGGAGCTCCATAAGCGGCTGGATTCAGAGCGGAACCGGGCAACTCCCGAGTCTGACTGGATCCTCTCCGTGACTCTCGGGCTGACGGAGCCCCGCCGCCGGTTACTTGATGATCTGGAAGTCAGAGTACTCCCGGCGCTGGATTCGCTTCTGGTTGCTGAACTCGGCTCTGTCTATCCGGGACTTGGGGCTACCTGTACGGCGCAACCAGGTCTGCATGGCCCGGACCGGCTCCTCGGCTCCCTGCAGCTGGCCCCGCACTGTCCCCTGCTCCGTGTTCTCCACCCATCCGGCCAGGCCAAGCCGCTTCGCCTCTTTCTGCGTGTGTTTCCGGAAGAAAACTCCCTGCACTTTGCCAAACACTTCAAAATCCAGCGACAGCAGCGAACCCTCACCGCCAGACGACATGACAACCGCCAATCAGCTCCTTGGTAACCGCTGCATCCGGCCGAGCAGCGCCTTCTGGGTACTGAAGTTCCCGTCACGTGGTGGACGGTGACCGACTAATCCCTGCGGCTGGGGATGATGGCTAAACCGATCATTGAGGGTTCGGGTTCAGTCCGTTACTGTATTTTGCAATGTGCCTTGTTTCGGGAATGCGTTTCGCTGACACTAAACTGCGAAATGAAGAAGCACGACAAGAGGCCATTAGGCCCATCGTGCCTACATCAGCTCTTCAAATGACCACTGCAGTACAACTTGAAGAAAATGTTACGAAACGGGGTTATGCAACATCGGTGGGAGCATAGAACAGGAAGTTCTATTTTAGCGGGCTTTGAGTACCCAGAAATGGCCGGAGAGGAACTTTAATTCTGTATTATTCTTGGGAACAGACTAGAGAATCTAAACATTACTGTACACAGCATAAAAGAAATACTTAGGATACAAGATTTCTGTTTGTACAAGAATGAAATGTAAATAATATTGAAGGGGTGTAAAGGTTGATGGTTTTCTGACTGTATTGGACAGAGCCAATCAGAATATCAAACAGAATCCTGTTTTTTACTCTCTGGTTGTTTGAATGAATGTAAAATTTAACCTGCATTATGTGAGCCCTCCTGTGATCTGTGCAGGAGACTAACAACAAAAAACAGAAGGGTCCCAACCCGAAACGTCAGTTTTCCTGCACCTTTGATGCTGCCTGGCCTGCTGTGTTCCTCCAGCTCCACACTGTGTTATATCTATACCTTGTGCTTTTTACCTTTATTCCCCTGCGCCCCCCCCCCCACCCCCACCATCACTTTGCACATTATTTTCATGCAAGTAATTGTTCAATGCCCTCTTGAATGTCTCTTTTGAACCTGCCTCCTCCATATTTCCAGGCAGTGCATTCTATATCCTAACTATTCAGTGAGTGAAAATACTTTTTCTCATTTTTGCTTCTTTTCTGAATGTCTTTAAATCTGTGCTGTTGCATTTTTTGTTTCTTTTATAAGTGGGAAAATTTTCTCCTTGTCTACTTTATCAAACTGGTTCATAATTCTGAAAATTTCTATCAGATTTCCTCTTGGGCATCTTCTCTCCAAGGAGAACAGTGCCAACTTGTTCACTCCATCTGAATCACTGAAGTTTCTCATCCCTGAAATCATTATGTGCTTTCTCCCATGCATTCATATACTTCTGATTAAAGTGACATCTAGAACTGTACACAATTCTCCAACTAAGGTGTAACAAGCAGAGTCTCACAGTTTGCAGACACATTCGTCGACTTGATCTCGGCTTTTTCCACAGTGACATACTTCCTTGCCTGATTCTATCCAGCATTTCCACCCATCTCTCAGTGATCTGAGGTGACCTACTGCTGCAGGTGTTAGATACAAAGAGCTAAAAGGTGACTGATGCATTAACATTTGTGCTTGCCCAGAAATTTGTTGTCTGCTCTTGGTATCTCAGACCAAGTTTATCTTTATTTTCAGACTCCCTCAGCTTCAGAAACACTCCTGTGCTTGTATATAAAAATGAAGTACTGTAGATGCTGGTAATTTGAAGTGAAGACAGAATGCTGGAAATACTCAGCTGTTCAGGCAACATCTGGAGAGCAGTGAATGGACTGAATGGCATAAAATCATTGTCACTCTTGCAATCCTGTGCTGATTATTCTGATGCTTGATAAATGTCCAACGAATCTGGAAGTAATGGAAAAACTTGCTGTGCAACATTTACAATGTAACTACAATCTTCAAGGTTTTTGAGAAGATTTTTAGCTCAGGTTGTTGATGCAGTTGTTGATTTGCTCGCCGAGCTGTTAAGTTTGTTTGCAGACGTTTCGTCACCATACTAGGTAACTTTGCCAGTGTACCTCCGGTGGAGCATTGGTATTCTGTCCCGCTTGCTATTTACATGTCTTGGTTTGCTGGAGTGGGTGGCATCACTTCCAGATTTGTTGCTTAGTGGTTGGTATATGGGGTCTAGCTCTACACATTTGTTAATGGTGTTCCGGTTTGAGTGCCAGGCGCCCAGGAATTCTCATGCAAGAACACCGATGCTTCACTGATGATGTTACTTAGTAAGGTGACAAAACGTCTGCAAACAACTTACCAGCTTAGTGAGCAGGTCAACAACCGTAACTACAATCTGAATAAAGTGGACCTTTTAAATAAGTCAGCATCGCTATATGGAAGAAGTAAGAATCTGCTTGGAAAGGGAATTAAAGAAGCATTGAGACACAGCAAAATTAAAATGGCTTTAAATTCAGAAGAATAAATTATCACATTAAGAAGAAATGGCTGGAGAAGTAATGCTGTTTGACAGGTTTACTATCAGAGTGTAAATAAAACACAGAATTGTATACCTACAGTCATACAGAACAGAAACAAACGCTTCTGTCCAACTCGTCGATGCTGACCAAGTTTCCTAAACTAATCCCACTTGCCTGCATTTGGCCCATATCCCTCTAAAGGTTAACTCTTCATTCACCTGTTTAAATGTCTTTTAAATGTTGTAATTGTACCTATATCTACCACTTCCTCTGGCAGTTCATTTCATATAAGCACCACCCTCTGTGTGTAAACGATGCCTTCAGGTCCCTTTTCAGTCTTTAATCTCTCAACTTAAAAACCTATGCCCTCTAGTTTTGAGTTCCCCTACCCTAGGGAAGAGACCTTTGCTATTCACTTTATGCCCCTCACAATTTTTATAAACCTTTAATGAGGTCACCCCTCAACCTCCTACGCTCCATGGGAAAAACGTCGCAGCCTATCCAGCCAATCCTTATAACTCAAACCCTATAGTCCCAGTAACATTCTTGTAAATTGTTTCCATGCCCTTTACAATTAATAATAACCTTCCAAAAGCAGGGTGATCAAAACTACACTGTACTCCAAAATTGACCTCACCAATGTCCCGTACAGCTGCAACATGACGTTCCAACTCCTCGACTCAGTGCTCTGACCAATGAAGGCAAGCATGCCAAATGCCTTCTTCACCTATGATGGCATTTTCAAGGAACTATGGACCTGAACCTCTGGTTCTCTCCGTTTGACAACACTTCCCAGGGTCCTACCATTAACTGTGTAAGTCCTACCTTGGTTTATTTTACAAACATGCAAAACCTCACATTTATCTAAATTAAAATCCATCTGCCACTCATTGGCCCAGCTGATAAAGATTCCGATATACTTTTAGATTACTTTCTTCAGTGTTCACTATACCACCAATTTTGGTGTCATCTGCAAACTTACTAACCATACTTCCGATATCCTCATCCAAATCATTTATATAAATGACAAACAACAGTGGACCCACCACTGATTCATGTGGAACACTGCTGGTCACGGGTTTCCAGTCAGAAAAACAAACCTCTACTACTACCCTCTGTTTCCGACCATCAAGCCAATTTTGTATCCAATTGGCTAGGCGTCCCTGGATCCATAGGACCAGTCGACCATGCACAACTGTGTTGAGGGCCTTGCTAAAGTCCATGTAGACAATGTCTACACAATGTCACATTCTCAAAAAACTGAATCAAGTTTGTGAGACATGATTTCCCATGCTGAAAGCGATGCTAATCATCTCTAGTCAGTCTTTGCCTCTTTGAGAAACCATTATGGAGTCATAGAGTTATATAGCAAGGAAACAACCCTTTGGTTCAGCTTATCCACACCAACCAGATCTAGTCCCATTTGCCAGCATTTGGCCCATATGCCTCTAATCCTTTCCAATTAAAGAACCCAACCAGATGTTTTTTAAATGTAGTAATTGTATCCGCCTCCACCACTTCCTCTGGCAGCTCATTCCATACATGTACCACCCTCTGCATGAAAACATTGCCCCCTCAGGTCCCTTTTAAATCTTTCCCCTCTCACCTTAAATCTTTGCACTATAGCTTTGGACTCCCCTACCCTGTGAAAAAGACCTTGGCTATTCACTGTACCCATGGTTCATTTTATAAACTTCTATAAGGTCACCCCTCAGTCTCTGACACTGCAGGGAAAAAAAACCCAGCCTCTTCCTATAGCTCAAATCCTCCAACTCGGCAACATTCTTGTAAATCTTTTCTGAACCCTTTCAAATTTAACAACATTTTCTTATAGCAGGGAGACCAGAACTAAAACTAGTATTTTAAAAGTGGCATCACCAATGTCCTGTACGGCCACAACATGGCATCCTAACTCATGTACTCAATGCACTGATCAGTGAAGGCAAACATGCCAAATGCCTTCTTCACTACCCTGGCTACCTGCAACTCCACTTTCAAGGAACTATGCACCTGCAACCCTTGGTCTCCCTGTTCAGCAACACTTTCCGGGGCTCTACCACTAACAGTATAAGTCCAGCCCTGGTTTGCCTTACTGAAATGCAACATCTCACATTTATCTAAATTCTCAAGAAACAGAATTGCTTCCAAGCTAGACACTAAATCACAAGCTGAATAAATAGATACTTTTGAATTCAATAAGATGTAAAGCTGATGATATTGTAGCTAGATCGTGTATAAAATAATGCAAAGATACCTTTGATGATGTTTGAGCTTTTGATGATTAATATGGGAACAAATAAAATTCTTGAAAAGCAAAATTTACCTGAAAAGTTCAGTATCTAGGGGAATCCACGGATAAGTTCATTAATGATCTCTACAGATTAGTGGGGAACTGTGACTGGAGCTTTGAAATCAGAATTCAATATAGACAGAATTGTTGTTAGACTTACCGATGAGTTTTTATTATATTTGTTACAGTTCAAAGAAGACTGGATTTCGGAGAGTTATTCAGATTGTAGTGGAAGCAGGATGCAAGAAGAAGCTCAGAGAAATCCACCAACTTCATCCACAGATGCCTGCTAGATGGACAACACCAAGAGGACACAATAAGCCCTAATACACTGGCCAGACTACTGTATGTCAAGAACATATCGGAACTGACAATGAGATTCCTACGACTACTAGGAATCAGGATAGCCCACAAAACCAGAGCCACACTACGACACTCACAAGGACCAAAGACCCCATACCTACGAAATGCAGGACCAGCTTGCTGTACAAAATACCATGCAAGGACTGCCAAAAACATTACATTGGACAGACAGGAAGAAAACTAGCCAGCAGAGTACATGAACACCAGCTAGCAGCAAAAAAACACAACAAACTTTCCCTCATTTTAGTACACTCGGACAACAAAGGCCATCAATTTAACTGGACGACGTAACCATCCTAGCTCAAGTCAGCCACAGACATGCACAGGAATTCCTGGAGACCTGGTTCTCCACCCATAATGCAATCAATAAACACGTGGAATTAGACCCCACATACAAACTCATGCAAAAAAGAACCGGAAATGACATAAAACACCGGACCATAAAAATACTAAGTGGAGTAGAACAACCACTTCATCGGAGGCTGCACTGATGATGTTACCCAACATGGTGATGAAACGTCTGAACTATAACCAGATAGCTCGGTGAGGAAGTCAACAACCTCACCCATAACTGAAGCTACAAATCTTCGCAAGAACATTAAAAGAGCCTATCCAATCTTTACAGATTGAGAGGGAAAATTAAGGACACAGTGGGGGAGTAAGGACATGGGGGGAGAGGGGGTGTGA